TAAAGCCTGGTACGTTCCCCAGTTCAGCATTGCTTTGCTTTAATAAATTATATCCATGACAGTCATAAGATATAGCATTTCGATTTAGATCTTTGCCCACAAAAGGTGCCACAAAGTAAGCCATAAAATCGTTTAGTTCCTGGAACACAAAAGCCTCCGCAGCACACAGCAGTTTAATGCTTGATAAATGCTTGAGTGACGGTCAGGTCTCCGGTCTCCGGTCTCGGGTCTTGGGTCTCGGGTCTGGCCGGCTTTTGGTCTGCTTCCAAGATCCCAGATTGCTTACTCGAGCAACAATTTCCCATAAACAGGCGTTGCTAAAGCGATTTGCATGCTTTGAGGGATTTCCCAGGCTTCCGCAACAGCGACGCAGTAGCCTCCTCCACCGTCTCCTCCTCCTCCCCCCATTCAGGCGTGGCATGTGGCACAAACTTGTGAGGGGCGAGGGTAAGATAAGCACAAATTAGTGGTAAATTAAGGCATCAGCAGGGGACGGGAGACAGCAGCTCAATTGCTGTTGCTGTTGCCGTTGCAACTGTTACTGCAGCTGCTTCTGGGGTCCCTTAGTTCGGGGTACACTCACGGCAAAACACGTCAGTCGCAGACCCCCATTTTGATGGACGTGCACTCAACACTTTCACCAGCTGACAGTAATCCCTCCTTCCTTCCGCCCAGTGACCCTCCTCCCCTTGGACTATCCTCCCCCACACCCCCCCAAAGAGCAAATCCTACGTTCCGTTGCTTATCAGTTTTCAATCACATTTTCACTCGCATTTCGGTACCGTTTCGTATCCTGGCCATAAATCAACAAGACGCCCTCCGATAATCCTCCATTCCGTGGGGGGGAGGGGCGGTGTGTCAGGTAGAAAGGGTGCATATGAGGCGATAGGCACCTTCCAGCAGAAATAGATAAAAATTGACAGCCTGACATGTGTACAAATAGCAAAGGACCGAAAGGACTGAAAGAACCGAAAGGACTCCTGCCTCAAAGAGAGACGTGTTTTAATTTTATTGAAACATATGATGAGAAATGGGAAGCCAATGGGGGTGTCCTGCCACGTGTCAAACGCGATCAGTTTTTGGCCTCCAGCTGCGGCCTCAAATGTCCTTTTGTTTCATTCTCCATCCTTGCACCTGTAGGTGGAAAGTCGGGGTTTCGGGTTACTTCTTTGGACTCTCATCGAAATGTATCTGTGGACATCTGTTTAATTTCCTTCTTGTAACTATTTTGGTTCTAGTTTCTACGCTTTTTTCTGTCTTTTTTGTTTGAGGAAATATATTATAATTCTATATCGAATTTATAGTCATCTCTGGTGAAATTTATGGCTCATTTCTAGTCCATCGACAGCTTCATTCCTCTCTGAATGGAATAGTTTCCTGTATCTCTAATCGAATATTTTATTTTTAGTTTATTTATATCATTAACGTTTTTTATGGCCATCTGCCGTAGCATATGGCATTTGATTTAGTGTTTTTAAGGATATTTGGAAATTATAAAATGCAAAAAAAAAAGTTTTATAAAAAGTTCATGGCAGGAAATTTTTAGGATTAGATTTTAGTAGTAGATTTTAGTATTAGATTTTAGTAGTATTATTAGAACATTCGATCTAGGACATATGCCGCTAGTTTTCGGGGGCTTTCTTTCAAGGGAAATGCTAGTACCCATACCATATTGATTCCTTTCTTAGTCCCTGTTTAATCCCCAACCCTATTGAGTGCAATCCTTGAACACATCACATCTGTGACATCAAATACTGCATCCAGAGATCCAAAGAAAACTACTGACAAATTCCCCAAGCAATTACCGAGCCATTAACTGGTGATGTAACCACTCATCGAGTCCGTTGCCTTCAGGCAGACTCGCACGAGCAGGACCTGCTCGACGGCAAGAACATAATAAAGCAATAAAAAAAAAAGAAGGAGCTCAGAAAGAAAGGCAACACGAAAAGAGGACGAAGGAAAGGTAAATGCCGGTGAGGGCAACTAAAGAGCCGCAAATGCTGGCCCAGTGCCTGGCCTGCCCTCCAATCGCTCCCTTTCTTGTGCCTTTGTCTAATTTATCATCAAACCGGCAGCAGGCAGGACAAAGGACATGCGGTGTGGTGACCATGGAACCAGCTGGCTTCCTGACTAACCCGAAACCGAAACTGAAGCCGAAACTGCGGGCCTGCAGGTTTATGACTAAATTGAAACAGGTTGAACAGGAATCGCCTAGGTAGAAGGCAGAAGGACTCTTTTGGGAGAGTTCTTAAGGGGGATGCCAGGCCCTTGCTTGTCAATCATTTGACTTTTCACTTGAACCGATATCTGTTTACACACAGCTCGGAGATCAAAGCGAGAGGCGGACAGCCACTTGAACACTTATCCCAACACAAACACAATGCCAGTCCCTATCCCTATCCCTATCCCTAGCCCTATACCATCCAAGATCCCTCCGCCTGGGGCTTATCTCACTTACAAGTAATTGTAATATTATCCCTAATAAGCAAAAGATTGATAGCATTCTGGGGAAAGCCATGGCCCGGCCATAAAAATTATTAGAAGAGCCTCTCAGCCTCTCAGTCGACACCAGTCCAACAGAAAAGGACACAAAGGATGGCCGGCCAGTCGCCGGTTATCGGCGGACCTCCGACTGACTCCTCGTCTCATCATCACTCGAGTAAACAATGTCATAAAATCATCAATCAAAGCCTTGACCCCCCCCGCCGCCGCCACTACCCCGGAACCTTTCCAATCTCTGTCTTGGCCTCCGCCTTAGACCTGGCTCCTTTCTGGTTTTCTGGCCCTTTGTGTTTTCTGTTTGTGCCTCTGTCTCGGGCCCTAAACTGTTTAAGCAAACAACACAGGACTGGACACGCGTCCGGATTTGGTTTTTGGCTTGCCTCTACCTACCCCGCACGTACCCCTCACCCCCTCCAGCCCTCCCAGCCCTCCAGCCCTCTCTGGTGTCACTGGACCCTGGGCCTGTTAATACAATTAAGTGTTAAATTTGTTGCTGCCGCTTCTTTTCGGGCTCGGACGGACAATGTTGGGTTATTCGTAAGTCGGGCAAATTGTTTTATGGGCGTGCCGCTATTTACATTATAAGTAGATACGGGATGTGGGCCCTGTTCTTGTGGTTTGAGTAGATTTTCCTTCGGGATTTTCTCGGCTGCAAGATGGAAATGACATTAGCTTGTGTGGAAAGGGAGGCCTTGAATGGCATCATAAACTATGGAACTATATTCACAATTGGCTGAAAGGGGGGCAGGGAGGGAGGGGCTGAGGGTTACGTACATAATCTTTATTAGGTGTGTGTTTCTCACTTCGGAATTGCTGTCATCTCATCTCAATCGTGCGGAAGGCTCTTCAGAAAGTTTTAGCCATTATATCAGTAATATATATTTTTTATGTCTTTAGAGACATATTTCTTGTAATTTTAGAACATTAAGGGTCTTTCAGGTTGGACTTTACTTTGAGAAAAACCTCTATAGACGAACACTTCGAACTTCAAATATATATTATGGCGGAAAATTTAATTTCCCCCTAAAGGAGATATTATTTACGATATTATTAAGGCATTATAAAAGTATTATATCTTTTTCATATCTTTAGATACATATTTCTTCTAATTAAGGAACATTAATGGTCTTTCAGGTTGGACTTCGATCTCCAATCATCTATTATTGATGAAAAATGAATCTCCCTTCAAAGGAGATATTATTTACGATAATATTGGAGCATTATACCAGTAATATATATTTTTTAACTCTTAGGATACATTTTTCTTATAATTGTCTTTCAGGCTCGACTTTACTTTAAGGGACATCTTTAGAGGCGAATACTTCGCTGTTTAGAAAATAGGCCAGTATTAAATGTAGTAGTATTATAGTCCTTGACTCCAAATATGTATACATATATTATTGCGGAAAAATTAATGTTCCCCTAAGGGAGATATTATTTACGATATTATTGAGACACTGCACAAGTAAAATATATATTTTTTATCACTTAAGAGACATATTTCATATAATTATAAAACATTTATGGTCTTTCGGGTTCGAATTTACCTTAAAGAAAAACCTCTAGAGACAAATAGTTCGCTGTTTAGAAAATAAAGGCCTTCCTTGACTCCGAATGTCTCCATCTTATTGCGGTAAAATGTATTTTCCTTTAAAGCAGATAATATTTACTAATATTAAGTGTTGATCTGTGTAATCCTGTAAAATATACTACTGACTGAGCTCATTCCTCACCCAGAAGTCCATAAATTCTTTTGGTATAGAATCAACTAAGAATAGGTTAAAGTTGGTACTATTTTTTTTAAGCCCTAAATTAGTGGTCCCAAAAAAGGAAGACAGACCTTCGCATTCAACCTTCCCTCTCTCCCAAAAAACATTCCCACTTCTTAGATAGAACTTCCAACAAATTGTTCTGTCCTTCGTACTCCCATAGAGATACTGCCCGAGCAAGATCAATCATGTCCACTTAGCTGCCGAATCACCCTGACCTACACCCACATATCACCGAAACACACACCCACAGCCCACAGCCGACATCCCACATCAAGCATTTCTTCGTCGTTTTCCAGGGGAAGTTGCATCGAACTTGGTCTGCTTCGAGCATCGACCATCGAACATTGCCCCTCTTCGAACCGGCAGCGTCGGACAGCGGCTGTTGGAACTCCATTAACAGCGTATAAGATGCAGGTTCCAGCGGCTAACCGCTAGCTGGCGCCACTGTTAACAGTCACGCACATTTCGTGCGGCCGCTGTTAATGCTGCTGTTGGCCTTCGTCTGGGGCGATGCTTGCTTCGTTTGCCGTCGGCCTTTTGTTGTTTTTGTAAATCGCCTTCGGTTCGGGGCTTCGTGTGGGCTTCGGTTTATTTATGCTGCAGCATGTTGCATGCAACATTCGGTGTGACGCGATAGGGGTGGGGGAGGGGCGAAACGGCCTTGCCGCCGATGTTCGCCGACGTTCAACCCGCCTGCTGCCACACCGAATTCAGTCATTGACGCGCGCGGTTCGACAGGCACGGACGCTTGGCATAACGGTACTTCTTCGTCAGTTCGTGTTGTGTGGCATACAACCAACCCCCCACCCCCCCCGAGAAAAGGCTCTCTTCTGAGATTTACAGTTCGTGCGTGAACAGCGCCATCGCCAGCTCGCGTGAGTGATGCCAAAGTGTGCAAAAGTGTGTGTGTGTGCGTGTGCGTGCTAGTGTGACCGCTTGACGGTTTTTCGAAAAATTTTCAAAATACAAAAAATGCCTCAATCGCTGCCACAGATCGGTGACGATAACGGAACAAAAAGCGGAGATTAAAACAAAGAAAGAAACGAGATACATCTCTGTGCCCCTGCCTCTGCCAGTGTGCCCCTGTGTCCGCTCTCTCTATCTGTGTGCGTGTCCTCCCGCCCGCGTGTGTGTGTGTGCGTGTGCCAGTGTGTTGTCTAACAATTAATTAGCATTTAAATCGCTCATTTATCTAACGTTAGACCATCCAGCCATCCGAAAGGCGGCCCCCTAATCAAACAACTAGAAAGAAAGAAAAAAAAACGTGAAAAACGTAAAGCCCGTGGAGAAAAGGGCAAAAGCAGAGAGGGAAGCGAACAAACATTCTGTAAGTAAGTGTGTCAACCTGTTAATTACCATAAAACAAACACCGAAATCAAGCCAAATTAAATTATAAAATAATACGCAACATTGCTGGACCTTTAAGGCCGAAATGCTGGTGGGTTGGGGCGAAAAAGGTGCGTGAAAAACCCGACCGGCCGTCCTGAAAAAATAACTAACATTTGCATTCAAATAAACACGAAAAACACCCGCAATAAGTGCTGCCGGGTCCGGCTCTCCGGGGGAGGTATGTCCCTTTTTTTTTTGGGTCAGAAAATGCGTTTTGTTTTCCCCTTTTTTCGCGAGATTTTTCCCAGAATTTTGTTTGTTATTTGCGGGTCTCCAATTTGTCGAATCCTTGGCTGGAGAATCGGGGATGCCCAAGGATTTGCATACACTGACAAACTGTCAAAATGGTTTAAGCTCCAAGAGAACGGAACAGATTTAAAGGGTGCTCTACTATATCTGGGTATAGATTAGATTTTTGTTTGATATTTCCATGGGAAATGTGTTTAAATATTTGAGACTCAAATGAGTTATTTTCTGTGTGGTTTAAGGGGTGAATATACTGTGAAAAGTCTTTATATTGATCATAGGGAAATATGTGAGTGTTTGAGAAGCTGGGCATTATTTGAAAATGCTCCATTGATTTTGCGGTGGAACCTAGATCAAGATTTTCCATCCAAATGCAAAGCTTTGTTAATCAGTTTTCATAGTAGATTTTTGTTTTTTTTTTCTATAGATTAATTATGGATTAAGAAGGGATTTTGGTGGGAAAAAATAAAGAATGATTGACTATTTGGCTTAGTTTTTGCCCCACAAGGAAATTTTGTTTTTGATTTTTGACCACAAATATTTGATTGGAAATGTTCGAAATATTATATTTATTTTTATAATATTTTATAATAATAATATATAATAATTTTATATTTTATATTACATATAATATAATATTTCTGTGAAATTTCGTAGTAATATTTTTAACGTTTATTTATTAATTTATTTATTTTTATTTATTTATATTTATTTTTTTGCATGCTCTATTCAGCGCTTAAAAATAAATAAATAAAATAATTATGAAAAATGTTACTAAAAAATCTCACAGAAATATTCGCTTGCTAAATAAATAAAAGAAAAGAAGTCCCCGCTCTCCTTACACCTCGTCTTTAGGTGAGTTTCCCCTCATCTGCAGGGCAACTTCTCCTCATCTTCATGGCAGCTTCCCCTCAATAGTTGCCATCTAATCCCACTCCATTCACACCTGAAAAGCCATTCTTAATCCCCTTACGTGTGTAGTACTCTGTTGATAACTGTCGGTTCTTCTGCTGTACTTACAGCTGTACAGGAAAGCTCTCCTAAGACAGCTTGACCTTTTTGCCCAAGAAACAAATCCAAATTTGTAAAATGAAAAGCCCTTGACTTGTCTGCTGCAAATGGAAATGGAACCAAACCAAAGGAAAAAGAAAAACAAAAACCAAATTGATCCCAATGAGGCACGGCACTCCGCGAGTGGGCCTGAGAGCCGTGTGCCCTATTAGCCTCCAATAAAAATTAACCTGGCTAGCCCCCAACCCCCAGCCCTTGCCAGACAGCCAAGACAGCCATAAATCTACAGACAGGCCGCAAAGTCAAATGAAAATAGCACGTTTTCACTCCCGAAAAAATATTTTCATTAAAAGTGTGGAAAAGATTCACAATATGTGAGAAAAAAACAAAAAAAAAACAACAGGCAGCTGGCAGTCAGCAGTCAGAGAAAGGGAGAGAGAGGCTGCGTTGAGATGGGGGGCAGGGGAGCATCAACATTCATCAATCTGTCAGTGGGGCCTGTCAGCTGTTTTAAGCACCCACAAAGTGCTGTTCCAGGCAGACCCAACAGAAACAACAACAGGAACAAGCAACAGCCATTCGGAGACGCCGCACACAGTCATTCAATAAAGATTGAACCAAAGTGAACCAGCAAAACCGAAAGATAAGATACAGTCGAAGATGGTGATACTCTAGCGGGTCGAGTTTTTAATATATATAAAAATATTTAAGGGAGGAATATGCAATAATCATACGGTTTTGAAGGGTGTAATGTGTTTAGTAGTCAAATATTTGTACGGTTTTGAGTTCAGAGAAACAAGTATCTTTAGGAGCTGACAGAAATGTCTTGTGAAAGCAGAGCGGCTGTCATTTTGTACTTATTTTATTCCAAATTAATGCCAATAACAATTTAACTTTTAAAAATATAATCATACCATGGCAAAAAATATTTTAAAAATATGCCAAAGGTAAAGAAAATTCAACTTTGGGTGGCCATATCTTCAGATATATCCACTCTATCGACATGAACAAAAAACTGTGTTAAAGGTGGTCTAATTCTCATTTTAATCCATTAATTGTTTTGGTTATAGGCGACGCCTAAGCCGAGTAAAAAATATGAAAGTGCGGAGAGTCGCCAAATGGCAGTTTTTGAATTTTTATAAAACATTTTGGGCGTATTTTAAAAAATCTATCTATGAGGAAGTGATCTACTCTTACAGGCCCTACAACCTAATTTTTGTCCCGTGGAAAGTTCCTCCTCTTCACAAAAAAAAAACCTCTGCCAAAAGTCCTAGTACCCTCCCTTAAAGAGTATCCATTTAAAGAAGGATAAACCAGACCAGACCAGACTCTTTCAGAGTCAGTGAAAAACAAACACAAAAAATGTAAATGTGAAAATTTGGGAATGCATTTCTTTGTGGCCCTTTCGACAGACGGGTCATAAAATTTTGGTACTTTTTTGTACTTTTTCTTGGGCAAACTTTAGTTAACTTTTTCTTTATTCTGTTAGGTCTTTGTTTTTTTTTATTTTTTTGCTTAGCCACGCGCAAAACGTGCGCCAATCAATTCCAAAAGAAACAACAAAAGAAAAGACAAAAAAAAAACCCTTAACCGTGTGAATATTTTTTCACTCCCACGGCAAAAAAAAAAAACAAAAACAAATTAAAGGCAACAAAAGCAACAATAACCAAAATGAAAATGAAAATGAAACCGAAATGAGAAGAAGACCGCGTCAAGTCGTGTTAAAATTAGAGACAAAAGCAATTTGTCTTTGTGCAATACTTGAGTCGATACTCAGATACAAATGTATACTTGGAGCCACTCGAAGATGTATCTTGCAGATACACATTTACATCTGATGAGTGGGAAGGGGAGGGGAGGGCTGCTTGGGTCTATTAAGCGAACGTGTTGATTGATTTTTATTTTCATGGCATTACATGTCCCCCCCCCCCCCCCCCACCCCCAACCGCTGGAAATTGTCTGTTTTCCCATTGCGGTTTTCCTTCTTCTTCTCCTTTTTTTTTGGTTAATGAAAACTCAACTCGGGGGGAGGGCGGGGGGTGGGCAGAGTTGCTGCTAAATCATTCAGCACTTGAGCATTGCCGAGGGTTTCTCATCTCCAGTTGATTCTATTAATTACAGAATCGAGCTGGAAAGTGGGTCTCTGCTCTGTCGATGACTTATTAAGGAGTCTCGTCTGGGTCTGGGGAGAGGGAGTTTTTCATGCTCTGCTTATTCCGAGAGATCCTCCTCGGGGGAAGGCAATTCCTTCTTCAGTTTCTAGTTTCGAACCGCCCCCTAAAGGGTATCGTTAAAGTCTACATTCCATTCACATTCCTTCTCCCTTCTGCCCCGAAAAACACTTCCTTTTTTTGAGTCAACACCTTAGCAAATAGATTTCTGTGTCGCCCCAGCACTTAGACTGCTGCCTGCCACTTGCCAGACCAAAAATTGATTGATTTTATTTGTCCGAAATGGGAAAAACGAGTCTTTCCCCCCCACAAAAAAAAAGAAAAGGAATCGCCCAGAGGTATCTGTCACTGACATTTTGTGGTTTACTCATTGACACAGCTCCAGCCTCAACCTTTGACCTGTTTCCCGGCACCCACCCCTTTCTCTATGCAAAGTTGTAGAATATTTTCATTATTCACCCCAGCCATTATTTCATGGCTATTCTTTGCCAAAAAATATAAATTCCTCATTCACTTACGGTTTGGAAATTGTTTCATATTTCCTGGTAACTGGTTCTGGTTTTGGCCCTGCTTCTGGCCCTGGTTCTGGCCCTGGTTCTGGCCCATTTTTTGTGTGCATTATCGATGAGAGGAGGTTTTTCATTTGTTTGAAAACTTAACCTGAGAGCTTTCGTCGTAGTTGGGACTCGATTTCATTTCCGATGCTGCATCTGCAAGAAGCAAAAATTGTCATGAATAAATGATGATGACGCTGAGGATGGATACAAATATTTTACACGGTAATATTTCATTTCTATACCGCTTTCATTCCATTGAATATATTTTGGCAGCAAAAGTGGTTAAAATTATTAGATATTCAATAATATTTCCATCGATAATGAGGTGCATTTTTGAAGACAATTTCTCATATCCATATATCCCCTGAAGCCCCGCCACTGAGTACTGGGTATCCCTTTGTTCTTGTCTCCTTTTTTTTGTGTGTGTTTTTGGAAATTCCCAATTGGCTTTGGTTTGGGCCAAGTTAAATAAAACCTTTGTCGCCTCTCAAGCAACCTGCCTGCTCCCGGCTCTCTGTGGCAATTAATTTGAGCCTCTCTGCTCTCCAAGGAGATTTTGTGCAGCTTTTTGTTGTTGAAAAATTCAAAAATTTCTATGAAAAATTCATGGACAAAGTTTGATTGAAATTGACTTAATGAAAATATATTTAAATGGCATATTTATATATATATATTGCATGGCTGGCAGTTATTTGTGTTTTAAGGAAAATCAAAAGAATATTTTAGCACTACGGAAATTTGATAAATTTATAAAATATATTTGTGATTTTTGATTTTTTGATTTTTTGATCTTATTGATTTTGATAGATGTTAAGAGTTTAATTTAAATATTTTCCCAACGCCAATGACCAGCAAAATGTTAAATATTCAATGGCTGGCTAATTTTTGCCAACAGCAGAAAAGTTTCAAATATCGAAAAGAATTCCTAAAATAAACATTACCTTTGTATACAAAAAA